AAAAAAACCCAAAACAACCAAGCTCAGAGAACACCAAGGACTCCACAGTTCAGCCGTGAACGACATATATTCTCTTTTATTGGAATCAGCAAAAAGAGTCCTACAAGAACATCTGTGCATTTTCTAGCATGCTTCCCTAACACTTTTCCTAGTGTGCACATGTCTTGTAATCAAAGTTTATTTCATTAATGCATTTGATTTATTGTTTTGAACGCATGTCACAGACTTCTGAAAAATGCAGATGTTGGTGTGCAAATATTTTCTGGTGGGCCTGTAGATTTGGAAGGTGTGATTTGACGATATTCAAATAAATATTTAGGCAGAATGAATTCTAAATACTGAGTACTAATCCTTTCTCTCCCTCTCTCTCTCTCTCTCTCTCACACACACACACACACACACGTGAACAATTTCTATATAAAGGCAGACTAATTTGGAATAAACTAAGACAAGACGCTTCTCAATCTGTTCTTACTCTTTGCACATTCTTCAAGTTTACAGAGCCTTTGGAGGTGAATAAATGTTTTTATCTACCTTTATGGAATAATGCATCATAATGAAAGAAGAAGAATATTGCCAAAGCTACTTACTCAACGTATTTACTTGAAGATGTCTCTTTGCTGTTTGTCTGTGATGAATCCGAAAGAGCCATGAAGACACAATTAGTTAAAATAGTGAGCATGATAAACAAAGTAAACAATGTGAATTATAGTTCAGGAAAACAATGTTTTGCTAACATGACACTAGTCCTGACTGTTCACAGCCTACAAATATTGTCCACATAAAATTAGATTATAGAAAGAAAAGTATTGTGATGTAACTTTAGAGAGAGAGGTTAAAATGTAATTGTACTTATAACTGCTGTGAAGACTATCAGAAGCCATTTCTTTGTATCTTTTTGCTTTCTTTTCTATCTTTCTTTAGCTTTTTTTGTTGTTTTCTTGCACTTTTTGCTTTCGCTTTGCTTTTTTTCTTTTTCCTTTTTCTTCCTGACTTTATATTTGTTTCTATTAATTTTTAAGCTTTCTTTTTAAAAGCGTTAATAAAAAATTATATGGAAAAACATTGTCCATGCAAAATTGTTGCTCTCGGATAAATCCTGATTCCAGATTTATTTAAGAGAGATGCAAATAAATAGCTCTGAACTATCACAGGGAGAAATTATTTAATCTCCAGATACCAAGAGTTTTCTTGCATCTCTCCTGGAGGACAGAGGGACTTTCTCCTCAAAAAAGCCAGAATGAAAACAGAGGGAGGGAAGCAATTATGTAAAGGATATGAATGAATCAAAACTTTAATGGCCATCCGCCTGATTCGGTGAAAAGGACTGAAGATGTACAAAGCACGCGTGGCGGTAAATCGGAAGATCGTTTTTCCTTTGTTCAAGACCATAAATGTCTGTAGGAGGAAAGTAATACATTAACTAGAAAGATTCTTACGAGACACTGTTGCTCCCCACGTGTGTCATCTTATAAAATATATGCTCTTTTGCAGCAAAGACAGCACCGTCTATACACAAAGGGAAAGTTAGGCACACAGGTGGAGCGTTTCAGGTTTGCAAAACTACAAACGTCAAGGTCAAGGAAGACAAATGTAGAAGGGATATGTGTGAACCAAACTTGATCAGAGAACGCAAACTTAGCTGGAGCAGTTCTGAAATGCAGAGACTTGGACTTAAAGGTTTAAATCCGGGGTTCTCAAACTTTGCTGGACCCCAACAGTCCACCAATGTCTGAGTTTTGACCATCCTCTTGCTTTGTCTGTGAAAACTGGATCAAATTTTTTAAAACTTGTGACCTCTCCCCTTCTTATTTCCCGATGACTCCCTGGGGGGGCCCTGACTCACAATTTGAGAATCCCCGACTTAAATAAAAAAGCATGTTTTTGAATGAAGCTTAACTCCTGGTGACTCTGTAGACACATGGATGTCGATTTATGAATTGTAGAGAAGTGGTTTGCCGCTTTCTAGAATGTTCCTGATGTCCCAGTCTAGTCTGACCTTTCTAGTGGTCTCCCATCCAAGACCTACTGAGAACTGACCCTGATTAACTTTTTAAGTTCAATCAAGTTTTGGATACCTGCTGCCCCCAGCTAGGTAAGAATTTTAAGCAAGCATTAACAAAATGTTCTCGTGTTCAGAGAAGACTCATCACAACATATGTGTGTTTTTCTCATGATAGTAATGGTCCCATTGAGTCACAATAAGCTACTATACCTTGTGATCATGATAGTAGGGGTCAAGATCCTCCAGGGGTTCTCCAATAAGTTCCACAGGAGGGCTTCCATAAAGGGCAGGAAGGTTCTGGCAAGCCTGTAGATCAAGCTGAGGCCTCAGCTTCTCTGCTGGTGGCAAGTCTCTCTTGGCCGCAATACGTTTCTTGATGGCAACCAAAGATTCAGGAGTGAAACGGCGGAAGTTGTCTGCCCCCAACAATGACATGGTCGCCATTTTTGCATTGTTCTTGTTACGTCATGGAATGATAACCTAAAAGGGGGTGGGGATTAGAAAGATCAGAGAGAAGATAAAATGCCTTCATGAATGAAGAAACTCCAGATGTATTTTTGGAACACTGGGACTGATTCCAACGAAGTTCATCTCTGTTGTGTAACTCATCCATCAGTTGCATAAGTTCAGGACAGGTAGCAGAAAATATTTCAACAAGGTATCATTAAGGTGCAATTTCTTTTTGGTTTGTTCCTGGCCCAGATTTAACCTTCCTGCCCTCCACAGAATGTAATTTAATTCAGAATCAGGTAGTGTTCCACTGTGATTCAAGAGATAGAATTCTGCAGAAGATGTTGGCCGGTGCCCTAGATGGCTTCAAAAAGGGGTTAGTTAAGATATGACCAGTCTATAACAGTTGGTAGATTCTCCCATGGATGGACTTTCTGCTATTAGAAGCCTGCTTGGTTTCTAGGGTGATCGTCAAACGTGAGTGAGAAACCTTGAAAATAATATAATATACTCAATTATGCCCAAGAACACACTTCAAAACCACCCGAAGTCACCTGATGAATTTTACAGCCAACTGGAGATTTCATTAGATTTCAGTCAAATCTAGTTCTGGTGTGGCACTGAAAGCATTGTGTCACACCAGCTTTCTTCTAAGATTGTACGCACAAGCTAATAATCTGGTCTAGTACTGCTCAGGACTCCTCATTATTTGCTTGTCAATACTAGAGTCATAGTATTGACAAGAGGGATCTCTGCAGATACCCAAGAGATAACAGAGCGAATATCCACCAATACCACATTTGTCTTTTGGTGACTGATCCCAAATGCACAGAATGTTTCCAGCCATATCAAGTGAAGAAAATGCTTATCCAGCCAGCATTATTTTTACTTTTAATTGATACTAGACAACCCTGTGAGCCATTGGGTCATTCTTTGAGAGAAAGGTAGTGCAGTCTGATGTGACCAGAATGAACATTACATTTTAGGCCGATTGTATTTTTTTGTTTTTACCCCAGTGCTGCAGAGTCCCTTGAGTTTGCTTGTAGGAAGCTGGCAGGGAGTGTTGGAAATCATGATCACATGACCACAGGGATGCTACAATGGCCACAATAAATTTATTTGCAAATAAAACTGGTCTAAATATCATGAAAATTTCAATTCCACAAGAGTAATGGGTCCTGGATTTTTTACACATTCTTTAAGTTAGCGGATTTTAGGTACCTTGATTCAAAAATTGTTGTGGTATAATGCACCGTTTGGGCTAACCTGAAGGTACAAACAGACAAACAGATAAACACCATGAGAGTTTTAGTAGTATCTAGATTTATGA